GTCTGTCGGTTGCAGACAAGACAGTGTCTGCTGCAAAGCAGGAGGAAAGGAGAGCGGAGAAAGTCCAGAACTTATTTCTAGCGGCAGACCAGTTTGGAAGATGGTTATTTGGTGTTATTTATTGTTTTTTTTTTTTTTTAAATCATCCTACAGGTGCATTAGATAAATTTGAAAATGAGGTTTTGAAAAAATCTGTAAGACTTGAAAAAAATCCCTAAGATTGCTCTATCTGTACGTATACCTGCAAAATGACATCAAATCTTTATAACTTACAGACAATCCGTACAACTTTACATGTATGAGAATGCCCTGTGTTAATAGTCCACTTCCTGTTTTTGGAACGATCTCCGGTCTGCTTGGTGACACGTGAAATCGAACTGCACATGAGTGCACTTCAACCAAACCGAGACCTAGGTTTTCAGGCAGACTAGAGTTCTCTTTTTTGGCTCGAATCAAAGTTTGAACCGAAYTCTAGACAAATGAGCTWGAKTTTGATGAAAGYRGACTAAAGAGGGCTGGTGTGAATGCACCCTTAAAGATCATTTCTTATACCAATGGGTGGTTTTAAGATCTATTTCTTTGGTACAGAAAWAAAACCCTTGATTTAATATGGACATGTCAGTCAGTTTCTAAAAGGACTGCTGCTATAAACCAAACAAACAATAATTTATTGTTGGGCCACATTCATCATCTGACAAACAAGTATCTGCAAGGGCCAGTTGCACATTGTGGCAATCATATTTTATTGATCTGATTATGAAACAAGAACAATCCCAGGCCAACCTGAATCCAATTCAGGTCACTAATGCTTGTCTATAGAGTGACTTTGTAATCTGGAGCAAGACTGATAACTCAATCAAAGAGACTTGTGCTTCATCTCAACTRCTGTGCTACCGTAATGCCATATGCACTGCGATCCATAAGCAAAGTGCAGTTTRAGCCCAGACTGTTGTCTCTGTGAAGCTTTGACGGTGTAACCTGTGACCAAATGTTACAGAAGTAGAGTCCCTCTCTACCTTTAAATATCTCTTGAGCAAATCCTTCCATAATGCTTCTGTAATCCTAACCTGAGTCATTTCCACAACTTAAAATATATTTGGTGCTTAATGCATTTGCCATTATGACAAAATTATCTTGTTCCTTGTTTTTTATTTTTTATTTTTTAGGGCATATCCTAGTAGATGTCTTGCTGAAAAGGAAAGGGAGCAATACATACATGGACAAAGAATAGGGTTTGTTTTGTTAGATTCCAGTGAGGTTTAAAATGTGTGTAATAAAATCAAATAAAAGTTAGACCAGGATGTTTTGTTCTTTATCAGATCGTGGAGAGATTTTAGTTTGTTAAGCGAGCCAAGCTTGATATCTGCCACAAGCTTGAGTGTTTGTCTAATTATTCTCAGAGCACTTTTCCTTCTTTATGACAATGTGTGTATCAGTTAAAACACATGCACACAAGTAATTTCTAAATAATTTAAATATAATTATCATTTCCTTTGTCTTAAAAACAACATGCAGTGAAAGCGAGTCAGTCTGGAGGTGTGGGAGACACGTGAGTCTTTTTTATAAAAGATGGTACGGTTTTACCCTTGAGGCACGGTTCAGGCGTTAAAGCTGCTGTGAGTGTCAGCTTGTCTCAAGACTGYTGCATTTTATTCCTTAAAATGTGATAAAAGTTCAAAGCTGTGTGTGCTCTGTGTCATCAGAAAAAAATGTTTTAAAAAATTGTTATTCAAACTTAATTTCAAGCCAAACAGCCTAAAATATGTCATAGCCTTGAGCAGAAAACATTGATAGAATTTGTTGAAAGTGAAAAAAAAAATATGCATGTCATAAATGTATGCAGTAATGTTGCAGTATTAATCAGTGAAGCAATCAGTAACAGCAAGAACAAAGGACGGATTTTTTTTTTAAATCTGAATGAAAACGTTCCATTCATGAGCTGCATTTTCCATATTGGCATTAATTCATCTACCTTTCTGCTGACATCAGCATAAGATGAGACGAGTATTTTGGTTTAAACATTCAAAATTGCTTATACACTCCTTAGCATTGAGATGTGCAACGATACAGAAAATTCACAATTCGGTTCGSTTTGATACTTTAGTCTCACGGTTCGATATTTTTTCCAATACAAAAAAGAGAAATGTCCATGCCCTCTTGTAATGTATTGACATTAACCATGAACATTTATTTAACMTCAAAAGTACAGKTTTTAAATTGAATTGTTGCTAAAACAGCAAGTTTCTCAGTGGATCTGTGCTCGACAATGCAGCCTAGGTGGAGTAGTCGAACACAGATCCACTGATCCTTCAACACAGAGCATCTTCAGAAGACAAGTTGATAAAGTAATTTTAAAAATCTGTATTGTTTGATTTGTAGTGTGTATTGAACCTAGAGGGCTGTATTGAACAATTTGATAAAGATACATGTATTGTTGCACCCCTATTTATTTATTTATTTATTTATTTTTTTGCTTTTTATTAACATGGGTGCACACCTGAGCACTGTTGAACACAGATTTTACCCTCCAACCATATTGCATTCGAACTTCAACTCACCAATAGGAAAGTCTACTTCAGTTGCAGGAGTGTTTGGCACAGGATCTTCAATCCAAGGTGTGGCATGGACAGCCACACTCCAGTCACTCCATGTTCCAATTTCCGTGTCCTTAGCTGCCACCTGTTGAACATGGATAAGTCAGAGTCAGGCTTACTGTCATTTGGTTTAGATGCAAAGCTTACATGTTCACAAGAAAAAAGTAGAAGACCAAATTCATGTTGGTTAAGCTTATTTTCTCTTGTTAATTTGTGAGATATCCTCATCTGCTTACCTGTATGATGTATTCTTTGCCAGCGTAGGCATCAGTGATGGTATGAAAGGTGCTGTCAGAAAGTTCCACCTAMATGGCCAAAAACACATAGCAAAGGCAGTCAACATGAATCAAAATTTACAACAGGACAAATCAGAATGATTTCTATCCTACCCTTGCTTTTTCATGAAGCCCGTGAATGAAACTAGTGTACTTTTTCAAACCATATATACGTTTAAGTGGGATCAATGACCCTAGCCATTCGAAATGTTCCAAAACCATGAAGCACAAAAAGGGCAGTTCAGAGGTCCTAAGTCAACTTCTGATCTTGAGATCCAGCCCTTTCATAGCTCTCCCCATAAATTATAAGCTTAGTGCAGAAAGTTTTAGCTTTTAGTGATTTATGGTGGGAAGATCTTTTCACCATTCACTTGAATAGGTCAAGTGTGTGGCTTTAACCTTCAGGTGTTTTACACTTTGTTGATGAATTGACTGAAACCTGATGCCCCTCTGCAGCCTCTGCTCTCCACACATACATAAAATAACTCCTACAGAGACACRTGCATAATTGATGATTATACCAGAAAGCACTGGCATCAATGCCACACCATTTTTGGACAGAACAAAAATGAACTTAATATTTGAGTTACAGAGGAGTGAATGGGGAAATGATTTGCTGCTTCCCTGTAATTTATGGTCAGCGTTGTGTGTGTGTGTGCACGTTTGTTTGCCTTTGCCCTCTGAACGAGCGGAGGAAGAAAGAGCATAAGATAGACTGCTGCACTTTTTTCTTTTCCCTCCAAAATCAAATAAAATCATGAAGTCCATGATATATAGAGAAATATATCAAAATCTACACAGAAAACACAGGAGAAATTTGGACTGTTTCTACACCTGGAAGGTTATATAAAAACATAAAGGTTAAAAAAAMCACTTAATTAATAAAAATATATAACCAAATATATTTGATTCTATTCTGCGCATCAGAGGCAATRAATCTACTAAACTATAGAGCCAGCAAACATTTGTTTTGTTTTCCATTTTCTGAACAGACAAGGAGAAATACCCCCAAAAATCCATCATTACAAACCAGTGGTACAAATGGTTTTAGGTTCCCAGTAAAAGATGCACTGAATGTTGGTGAACAACTAAAAAAAGCAAAGAGCCTGAGACAGTTGTGTCCAAGCCAYGGATCTACAGCTAACAAAGTTTCCTGCAGCAGTTCAAAAGGACAAATGCTCAGCYATATCTGTCAATCCTAAATAAAATTGGTTGCAATGAATGTGATCTAGTGTACCTTTTTAGAAAAGAGAGAATCTTAAAAAAGAACAACCGTCCRTTCAGCACTACACCAATCAGGTCGTTATGGAAAGAGTTGCCAGAGAGAAGTCTAAAAGGCCTTGAAACCCATCTGGGAGTTTGCCAAAGGCTCCTGAATGACTCTTAGACCATGGAATGGAATATCCTCTCATCTGATAAAATGAAGACTGGACTGTTTGGCACCGTTCCCAACTGAGGAAACCAGGCCTTGTGCACAGTCATCCCTATAAACACGATAGAAGCAGCAGAACAAGGGGAAGATTTTCTTCCATCGGTAGCTGGCAGACTACTAAAGATRGAAAAACCATTTATGCCAACAAATATTCAAAATACACCTTTTTTTTTTCAGATAGCTTCATACTAAAGGAATCCCTCAMTGAAATGCTGAGAGCGCTGCAGTGACACAGCCAAATGTAAACACTCTGACTTCCCATTCAAACAGTTTTAGCTGCTAAGGTTGGAAGAAAAGTGAAAAAGAAATGAAAGCATGCAGAGCCCACGGCATCATTTGTAAGAGCTGAAATTGACGTCGCTTCCAAGGATGCTTCAGTAAAATACCAAGTTATGTGACAAGAGGCATGAAAACATTAGACATTATAAATATTTGGGGGAGTGGTAGTGCAAAGGTTAAAGCAGGTGAACCTGAAATTCAGAAATTGCAGGTTCAAATAAAAAAAAAAAACAAAGTGTAATTTTAACACCTACTGAGTTGAATTGAACTATGTTTCATATAATATTTGGTCCCACCCAAAATTAGTGTAAAATGTACTCTATAGCCAGTGTAAACTTTTCTGAGTTAATTTTACTCATTTTAGTGTCAAAATCAACACTGAATCAAGTAAAATTATTTAACACAATAGCTTGTTAACACTCTATAGAGTTATATTGTGTTAAGTTTACACTAAACTTTCTTTAAAAAAGTACACTTTATTGTGTAATACTATTATTTTTTTGTTTTCCTTTTTACACCATGTGAGTCAGAGTACACAGATTTCTGCACTCTATTCCAGAGTTAAAATCAACTCTTGAAGTGATGTATTAACACTGGTCATAAGTTGGCAAAACAGCACAACAGKGTGACCCTTCACACACCAGGAAGTACCTCTCACTCATGGTGTCGACTTATGGCAAATAACACAAAACTTAAACTTGAAAAACTAACCAACCTGAACAAGGAAACTAACCAGAAAAAACTATTTTTTTTACACTCATGAACATTTTTAATAGTCTTAGACATGCAAACACATCATTTCTACAAGATCACCCAGCATCTCTTGCTGAGAAAATTCTGGTCCATGAAGAAGAGGGCGGGGCTTTTCAGAATACGTCTCTCAACACTGCGTTGTGTTATATAACAACACTGTTAAGTGTTAATCATAACAGTGGGCAGAGCTTATTTAACACGTCCAGAGTTGAGACAACACTGACGAAATCAACTCTGTGAATTAACACCAACACTGGATGTCAGTTTACTCAGAAAGTGTTAAAATARCATTTGGGGAGCTGAAATTAACTCTGAAAAGTTTAACACTGCAAATYTAACACTCCATTTTTTACTGGGCGGGAAAAGTGAATCACCCACATTTGCACCTCTGTGGGCCCCTGWGCAATCACCCCCACCTTTAATTCAGTTTATAGACACCATAAACCAGCCAAATTAAATAGCAAGTTAATTTCTCCAGCAGCCTGTTATTTYATCAAAACCCCCCTCACACCCACCATGTATAGTTTTTTTCCTTACCACCAGCGATAGTCAAACCTCAGGTTGGAGTACAGGATGTGCAAAACTGCAGTTAGACAGTCAAATAACCCACTCCTACACCCCGAGCGCCTGTGCACACTCTGTCTTCCTGTAATCTCTCCCTCATCGCTCACCCACTGTGAGAAGTTGACCCCTGTATTTTCAACACAGCCTTGATGTTAACAGCCTCTCTCTCTATCTGCCCCTCTCTTCCTCTGTTTGGAAGGAAGCTCAGACTTTATCTGCCTAACAGAGCGCTACATTTCGAGGCTTAATTTCATTAGCGGCATGCGAGGAAGAGCGTCATCTCAGCGTGCGTGTTTTTCTGCTCAGAGCTCTGTGCGAGCGCGGTTACACATCAGCGTACAGCAGTGTGTGTTGCTTTTGAGGCGATGTTTTKTCAAATGTTTAGATGTAGTCCAACGAGCGTGTTCAGTCGTTGCTTCCATCTGCATTCCTTGCTGCCTCTAATGTGCATCCGTGTGTACAYGTGTGTGCATTGGAACACTGATGTCTATGGTGTGAAACCCTGACACAATCTGGTCACATCTGTTTGATTTTTTTTTTTGTGTGTTTTTACAAATTTATGCATGCAATTTTATGTTTTTCTGTGTGTGCACATGAATGTGTGTTCTTAGTTTTAGAAAAAATATACTTTTCAGGGTTTTACTTTTCCCCTATACTTGTATGGCAACCTGTATGCACACATGTTGCAATGCTTTTTTTTTCTTTGTGTTTAAACTACATATATAATGAGGAAAGCGTGTGGTAAACAGCTTACAGATAAACATTTCCAGAAAGATGAATGTGTTGTTGGAATGCCAGGTGGCTAAACAGGGAGCAGTGAGAATGGCACTTAATGTCTCCTAGCGTGGGGAGGTGTAGGGGTGGCTGGTGGTGCAGAAGGGAGATGGATGGAGATCTGTTGCTTTGCTGCCAAAAAAAAGGCCTTTCTATTGTGGCTGTATTTGTTTCTCCCTGCTCCCTGTTGCACGAGCGTGTATTTACATTGCACATGTGTCTGGAGGGCTTATCTGTTCAGTGYTGATTAAAAGTAAAATACTGCAAATGCATTTAAACACTTTATTCAGCGTACACACTCGCAGGGTAAGAAAAGCCAGGAAACACGCACAAYGCCGTCTCAAACAGCAAAATATTTWCCTCATCAAAATTATGTTCCATTAACTCAGACTAAATACATTATATTACCTCACTGCAGGGGAATACAGATTCTACCAACCAGATCACCCAAAAAATGACTTGTTTTCAAAGTGATGACTTAATAGTTTAATGCTTTTCAAAGTYATGCTGCAGGCAACACACGCAGACAGGAAGCATTATATATTATATTGTAGATGTTCTTAATTCACCGAACAAAACTTAAAGTTTATATTTTTTCTTAGTACTAAATGTTGATTTAGTGATGCCATATTATCCATCCATCCATCCATTTTCTGTACACGCTTCTTCCTTTTCAGGGTCGCGTGGGTCACTGGTGCCCATATCCAGCAGTCACAGTGCGAGCGGCAGGGTACACCCTGGACAGGTCGCAAGTCCATCACAGGGACACACATAGAGACAAACGAGACAAACAAGCATTCACTCTCTCACTCACACCTAGGAACAATTTAGAGTCACCAATTACCCTAATTTTCAAGTTTTTGGTCAGTG